TGGAAATGGAAGTTGATTGGGATCTTCACGCCGTCGTTAGAGGCTACTCCGCCATGACCTCCGCCGCCTCCTCCGCCGCTGTTCCTTCTTCCGACTCCTACTCTGTTCCTTCCAATTCCAATAACTCTGTTCCTTCCAATTCCAATAACTCTGTTCCTATGGCGTTTGGCAGAGACCAAACGAACCGTATGTTGTCGCTTCAAGATCCGTTTGATGGGTCCAATTGTAATTCTACTGAGGAATTGCAGGAGTTTTTCAACCCCTTTTTACCTAAATCTCAACGCTCACCACCACTGCCGCCGCCTGCTCCGCCGCTTCTTTCTTCTCCGGCGGTCAAAATTCTGACCCATCAGAAGCAACTACAGAACACCCATCTCCCTAAACAGCTCCATTCAACCTCCGTTTCTGCTCCGAGATCCAAACGCCGGTGAGTGAACTTTCATCATGCCTTGATTCTGAAAAGTGCTTTTTTTTTTTTTGAAGCTAATCGATTTCTGTGTGTTCCTCTGTTTTTGCTCTGTTTTAGGAAGAACCAGTTGAAGAAAGTCTGTCAAGTTCCGGCGGAGGCTCTGTCCTCGGACATTTGGGCTTGGAGAAAATATGGACAAAAACCCATCAAGGGATCTCCATATCCAAGGTTCGAACTCGATTTCAAATTTTGAACCTAAGGTTTTGATTTTGGAGTAAAGGGTATTGATTTGATTTAGTTGATGATGAAAAAAACAGGGGATATTACAGATGTAGCAGTTCAAAGGGTTGCATGGCCCGGAAACAAGTGGAGAGGAACAGATCCGATCCGGGAATGTTCATAGTTACTTACACGGCGGAGCACAACCACCCGGCGCCAACTCATCGGAATTCCCTCGCCGGCTCCACCCGTCAGAAGCCCAACACGCCGACACCCACCGACGCCGGATCGGAAAAACCCGACGCGAAACAGCTCGTTTGCTCGTCCGAAGATCTGAGTACGATCATGGAGAGCAAAGAAGAAGAGAAAGAGGAATCATTGGCGGAAGACGAAGAAGACAACGATCTGGGGGACTCTGATTTAATCGTCAACGACGATTTCTACGTGGGGTTTGAAGAACTCGACAGTCCTAACGCCGACGACTGCTTTTCCGATGATTTTCCGGCGAGTTTTGGACTTCCATGGCTGTTTAACAATGCTCCGACCGCCACTAGCAGCATTTAACTAAAACCCAGATGGAGGAATTGTAAAACTCCCCTGTTAAAGCAATTTCCAACCCTTCCCCCTCCCTCCTTTCCTTTTCCAATAGAGATCTGTAAAATCAAACAAAACAGAGCAAAGATCTTAACAGTGTTTTAGCTGGCCTTATTAAGGAAGACGAGGCAGTTCATTTCTCATCTTTTTCTGCTTAAATTTCAGAACAAATCTAAGAAAAACAGTGATTTCCAGTAGCAAGATTCAGTGGGTTTGTGAGAAAAAAACAGAACAAATTTGCAAGAAAAACAGTGATTTCCAGTAGCAAGATTCAGTGGGTTTGTGAGAAAAAAACAGAACAAATTTGCAAATGGGGTTGACTAGTGGAAGGAATCAAGCCATGGATGACGCATAATGGCGTTGACAGAGAAGCAAATTAAGAGTTTTTTTGTGAAAGATAAAGAAAATGGCTATGGGGGATGAAGAATATGCTCCTTTTTCAAAGCAATGGTGGAGAATCAGTGTTTTTTTTTTTTTTTTTTTTTTTTTTTTTT